AAATATGGCGAACAAAAGATGAAGACAATAGTCTGAATTTAATAAATAATGAAAAAATATAGAAAAATCAGTGATAACAATGAACAAAGATGAGGACAATACAGTCCCAATAAAGAAAATAAATAATGATATATATCATCCCATTTATATATATGATAACAACAACAAAGATGAATACAATAGTCTGAATGTAAATATGTAAATAATGATAAAGATGATCCAAGAAATTCCAGATAAAGTAGATGATAAATGTACATGTAAATAGTGTAAATAATGATAACTCCTTATCCCAAAAATTTTATAAACCATAATAAAAAACAAAGATGAGGACAATCTTTATGTAAATAGTGTAAATAATGATAACTCCTCATCCCAGAAAAAATGATAAACAACAACAAAGATGAGGGACAAGAAAAGACATTAAATAGTGTTAATAATGATAACTCCTCATCCCAGAAATTTTGACAGAAAAAGTTAATTCTTGCTTTTTTATAATTTGTTGTAAATATGTAAATAATGTGCTATTTATATGTATAATGGTAAACATTTCAGTCCCACTTCAGGACCGTTAAAGATGAAGCAATAGAAAAGACAATAATGAAATTTCCAGAGAATACGTGGCATTAAGATGTTAAGAGGCGTATTCAGGATTATCGATAACAAAGAGAAAGATTTACAATGAGACAAAATATTTTCGATGTTTATATGACATATATTATATATTATTATATATATTGATTCAATGAAGGAGTTGTTATTTCAAGATGCGAGGCCCAACATTGGAATAATAAAAGAAATAGACATTGATAATTTGTAAACCAATCAGATAACTCCTCACATGTCCGAAATTGATGAAGCTTAATGACATTATTGAAAGACGAACAGTTTTAAATTCTATATTAAAACAAAAGGAAACAATTATAAAAAAAAATCCCAAAAATTTGAGAATGGATAGAAAACAAAGGGAATGCCATTTCAGAAAATAAGAAACAATAGTCTGAATAAATAAAAATGAAAAAATAATTTTGTCAAACATGAAAAGTCTTTGAGATCCTTTCTTTAAATGGCGGCCCCTGTGTGTTGCTATGGAATATTGGCCGAGTTTGTCAATGGTGTTTTTAATAATAAAAAGTAAACATTGATAAGCTATTTAATAAAGACTCTCAAAATATTTAACATTTGAATTTATTTTTTTCATAATTGCAGAATAATGAAACACTGAGTTCCTGGATGAATAAAAAAAAAAGAATGTATAGGCAACCATAACAAAAGAATGGGGAGAGTCCGAAAAATAAAAAAAAAAAAGAAACATAAAGATGAAGAGAAAGATGAAAAATAATCGTCTATGAGATAGATAATAGATAGATAGATAGAAAATATAGAATAGAAAAGACTTCACTAAGATAGATAGATAGATAGATAGATAGATAGAATAATAATAGATAGATAGATAATGAACAGACTCTGATAGATAGTTATTTAATAGATAAGCTGGCAATAGATAATGGATAGACTTGATAAAATATAGATAGATAATAGATGATAAATAGATAATAAATAGATAAAATAACCTTCTGATAGAATAGATAGATAGATAGATAGAACATAGATAGAAAGATCCAGAAATTGTAATATTAAGAGAAATGGAGGAGAGAGAGAGAAGGGAGAGAGAAAGAAAGGGAGGGGAGAGAGAAAGAAAGAGAAAGAGAAAGGGAGAAAAAGAAAAAAATAAAAGAGAAAAAAAGGGGAGAAAGAGAAAAAATGGGAGGAGAAAAGGAGGGGAGAGAGAGAGAAATGGAAACATAGAGAGAGAAAGAAAGAGAGGGAAAGAGAAAAGATTGAGAGAGAAAGAAGAGGGATTTCCAGATAAAAGAAGAAGAGATATGAGTAAATTGCATCGAACAGTTATAAAAAAAAATTTGAAAAAAAAAAAAAAAAAGAAAGGTATTTATGGAAAGGAAAAAAAAAAAAAAAGGCAAAAAAAAAGAAAAGAAAGAGGTTTGATAACTCAAAATGGAAGAGAAAGACGAATAAAAAAGTTGTAGAATAGAAAGAGAGAAAGAAAATAGAGAGAGGACAAAGTTAGAGAAGAAAAATGTAGATATCTGGAAGTAAAAAAAAATTAAAAAGTTGTTGATATGATAGAAATAGAAAGAATTTGGTTCCAAGGGATAGAGGCCGGAAGAGAGAAGAAAGAAATGTTATGATTTGTCTCAAAAAAAGAAAATTTATTTCAAAGAAATTTAAATGATAAGGATAGATAGATAAATAAAGGGAAAATAGATAGATTAAAAAAAGATGAAGACTTGAGAGAGTTCAAAGAGATTTTTTTTTAAATTAAAAAAAAACTTGGTAAAAAATGACAGAATAATGTGAGAACGAAAAATAAGATATAAAAGATAGATGGATAAAAATTATTGAACTAAGAAGATAAGGCAACCAGGTAAAGACAGTGATCAAAAAGTTAGAAAGACAGAGATGAAGATAGAATGTTCTAAATTCCTAGTTTATTTAAAAAAAAAAAAAAGAGAAGAAAACGGAATTTATAGCAAAAGCGTTATTATTCAAAAATTTAAAAAAGATGTTGCATGGAAGATGTTTTGGCTGTTAGCGCTAAATGAAAAGAAAAATTTTTTAAATTGCCTTATGGATAGGCGTAACAAAAGAGAGTAAACCAAAGTTGTAAGTGGCAAATAAAGATAAAATGAAAAAAATTTTTTAAATATATGATAAAATACGAGAAATTGAGAGAGAGATGGGAAGAAAGAGAGAGAGAAAGAAAGAGAGATAAGAGAAAGAGCAAGAAACGTTGGAAAAAAGATTACATTAAAATCCATGAGGATGGACTTGTTTAGCGCTTAAAATGAACAGTTACGAAAAGAAGAGTAAGGATAGGCGGTAAAAGAGATCAGAAATCAAAGAATTGATGCACAAAAATTTTTTTAAAATGAAAAAAAATTGAATAAATATAAGATAAAAACATTTGAGAGAGAGAGAGAGGGGAAGAAAACAAGAGAGATTTAAAAAGAGAGAGATAGAGAGAAAGAGCAAGAAAGAAGGAAAAAGATGTTGAAGGAAGCCCGAGGAAAGGCTTAGTTAGCGCTCAAATGAACAGTTACGAAAAGAAGAATAAGACCATAAGCTAAAACTTTAAAAAGAGAGTAAGTCAAAGTTGTAAGTGCACAAAATTAAAGTTAAAATGAAAAAAAAACAGGTGAATAAATATAAGATAAAATATGAGAGAGAGAGAGAAAGAAAGAGAGGAAGACAGAAAGAAAGAGAGAAAGAAAGAATAGATAGAGAGAAAAAATAAAGAAGGAAAAGATGTTGATGGAAGATGAGGATGGCTGTTAGCGCTAAATGAAATAGTTACGAAAAGAAGAAATAAGGATAGGCGGTAAAAGAGAGTAAACAAAATAAGAACAAAAAGAAAGATAAAATGAAAAACAAATTGAATAAATATAAGAAAAAATGAGAGAGAGAGAGAGAAAGAGAGAGAAAGAGGAAGAAAAAGAGAGAAGAAAAAGAGAGAAGAGAGAAAGAGTGAAAAGAAGGAAAAAGATGTTGAAGGAAGATGAGGATGGCTGTTAGCGCTAAAATGAACAGTTACGAAAAGAAAGAGTAAGGATAGGCGGTAAAAGAGAGAGAAGCCAAAGTTGTAAGTGCAAAAAAATAAAGATAAAAATGAAAAAACAAATTGAATAAATATAAGATAAAATACGAGAGAGAGAGAGAGAGAGAGAGGGGAAGGGAAGAGAGAGAGAAAAAAAAAAGAGAGATAGAGAGATAGAGCAAGAAAGAAGGAAAAGATGAAGGAAGATGAGGATGGCTGTTGGCGCTAAATGAACAGTTACGAAAAGAAGAGTAAAATAGGCGGTAAAAGAGTAAGTCAAAGTTGTAAGTGCACAAAATAAAAGATAAAAATGAAAAACAAATTGAATAAATATAAGATAAAATACGAGAGAGAGAGAGAGAGAGAGAGAGAGAGAGGGGAAGAAAGAGAGAGAGAAAGAAAGAGAGAGATAGAGAGAAAGAGCAAGAAAGAAGGAAAAAGATGTTGAAGGAAGATGAGGATGGCTGTTAGCGCTAAATGAACAGTTACGAAAAGAAGAGTAAGGATAGGCGGTAAAAGAGAGTAAGTCAAAGTTGTAAGTGCACAAAAATAAAGATAAAAATGAAAAACAAATTGAATAAATATAAGATAAAATACGAGAGAGAGAGAGAGAGAGAGAGGGGGAAGAAAGAGAGAGAGAAAGAAAGAGAGAGATAGAGAGATAGAGCAAGAAAGAAGGAAAAAGATGTTGAAGGAAGATGAGGATGGCTGTTAGCGCTAAATGAACAGTTACGAAAAGAAGAGTAAGGATAGGCGGTAAAAGAGAGTAAGTCAAAGTTGTAAGTGCACAAAAATAAAGATAAAAATGAAAAAAAAAATTGAATAAATATAAGATAAAATATAAGAGAGAGAGAGAGAAAGAGAGAGAGAGAAAGTGATAGTGAGAAAGAGAGAGAGAGAGAGAGAGAGAGAGAGAGAGAGAGAGACGACAGCAAGCCATAAACGAAGTTATAAAAAGAACAAGAAGAAGATGGCGACGAGCGAGTCGAGGCTGTTGATAGACGAAACGCCATCGTTGTTTCTGTTATGATATTCAGTTTTGGTATGAGTCACCCAATATTTCCAAGCATCAGATAGAGCTGTTTGCGTAGCATACTGGGTTCAAGGGGGGTTGCTGGGGGGTGCTGGGTATGGAGATAGGTGAAGGAGGCAGTTTCTAAGGGTGGAGATGCACTTTGGAAGACGTGACAAGACCCAGGGGTTAGGTTTATAAGAGAAGGTGGGTGAGATATGGGAGGAAGACAAACAAACAGTAAAACGAGAGATGCGCCTCATCCTATCCCCGCATCCCTGTTTAACGAACCACAAACATAAATTCTGACCTGAAAATTGTTCGTCGTTATACAGATTGTAAGTGAGTATGGAGGCGTGTTTTTAGGCATGTGATTCAACGAGAGAGAGAGAGTGAGAGAGAGAAGGGGGAAGAAAAAAAGAAGGAAGTGAGAGAGAGAGAGAGAAGTAAAGAGAGGAAGAGAGAGAAGGAGAAAGAAAAAGAAAGAATGGTAAAGGGAGAGGGAAGACAGCGAGAAAGGAGAAGAAAGATAGAAAAAAGGAGAAAGTGAGAGAGAGAGAAGAGAGAGAGGAGTAAAGAGAGAGAGAAGGGGGAAGAAAGATAGAAAAAAGGAGAGAGGAGTAAAGAGAGGAAGAGAGAGAAGGAGAAAGAGAGAGAAGGAGAAAGAGAGAGAAGGAGAAAGAGAGAGAAAGAATGGTAAAAGGAGAGGGAAGACAGCGAGAAAGGAGAAGAAAGATAGAAAAAAGGGAGAAAGTGAGAAAGAGAGAGAGAGAGAAAGAGAGAGAGAAAGGGGAAAGAAAGAAAAAGGAGAGGAGAGAGGAAAGAAAGAGAGAGAAGAAAGAAAGAAGGGAAAAGAAAGTAAGAAAGAAAGGAAGAAAGAAAGAAAGAAAAAGGGAAGAAAGATAGAAAAAAAGAGAAAGTGAGAGAGAGAGAGAGAGAGAGAAAGAGAGAAAGAGAAAGAAAGAGAGAAGGGGAGAAAGAAAGGAGAAAAAGAAAGAAAGGATTCAAGAGAGGAGAGGAGAAAGAGAAAAGGGGAGGAAAGAAAAATGAGGAAAGCAGAAAGAAAAGTGAGAAAGAAAGAAACCAGGAGAAAGGGGGAAGAAAGAAAGGGAAAAGGAGAAAGAAAGAAAGAGAGAGAGAGAGAAAGAAAGAACAGAGGGAAGAAAGAAAAAAGGAGAAAGTGAGAGAGAGGAGTAAAGAGAGAAAGAGAGAGAAGGGGAAAGAGAGAGAAGGGGAAGAGAGAGAAGGGGAAAGAGAGAGAAAGAGGGTAAAGGGAGAGGGAAAACAGTGAGAAAGGGGAAGAAAGATAGAAAAAAGGAGAAAGTGAGAGAGAGAGAGGAGTAAAGAGAGAGAGAAGGGGGAAGAAAGAAAAAAGGAGAAAGTGAGAGAGAGAGAGCAGTAAAGAGAGGAAGAGAGAGAAAGGGAAAGAGAGAGAAGGGGAAGAGAAAGAAAGAGGATAAAGGGAGAGGGAAGACAGCAAAAAAGGGGAAGAAAGATAGAAAAAAAGGAGAAAGTGAGAGAGAGGCGTAAAGAGAGGAAGAGAGAGAAGGGGAAAGAAAGATAGAAAAATAGATAGATAGAAAGAGGGGTAATGGGAGACGGAAGACAGCGATAAAGGGGAAGAAAGATGGAAAAAAGGAGAAAGTGAGAGAAAGAGGAGTAAAGATATAAGGAAGAGAGATAGAGAAGGGGAAAGAAAGATATAAAAAGGAGTAAGTGATGGAAATGGAAAGAGGGGTAAAGAAAGAGAGAAAAGAGGAAGAAGGGAAAGAAAGAAAAAAGGAGAAAGTGAGAGAGAGAGAGGAGTAAAGAGAGAAGGTAGAATGAGAGAACGAGAGAGAAAAATCGAAAAAAAGGAGAAAGTGAGAGAGATAGAAAGAGGGGTAAAGAGAGAGGGAAGGCAGAGAGAAGAGGGAAGAAAGAGAGAAAAGTCGAGAAAATGAGAGAGAGTATAGAAAAAGGAAGAAAGGGAGAAGGGAGAAGAAAGAAAAAAAGAAGAAAGTGAGAGAGATAGGTAAAGTGAGATGGATGATAGAGAGAAGGGTAAAGAAAGCTAGAAAAAAAGGTGAAAGTGAGACAGAGAGAGGGGTAAAGAGAGAGGAAAGAGAGGGAGAAGGGGGAAAAGAAAAAGGAGAAACTGAGAGAGCAAGAAGGGTAAAGAAAGAGGAAAGAGAGGGAGAAGGGGGAAAAGAAAAGGATAAAGAGAGAGCGAGAGGGGTAAAGAGAGAGGGAAGAGAGGGAGAAGGGGGAAAAGAAAAAGGAGAAAAGAGAGAGAGGGCTAAAAAAGAAGGAAGAGAGGGAGAAGGGGGAAAAGAAAGAGGAGAAAGTGAGAGAGAGGGGTAAAGAAAGAGGGAAGAGAGGGAGAAGAGGAAAAGAAAAAAGGAGAAAGTGAGAGAGAGGGAGAAAGAAAGAGGGAAGAGGAGGAGGGGGAAAAGAAAGAGGAGAAAGATAGAGAGAGAGAGGGGTAAATAAAGAAGGAAAAGAGGGAGAAGGGGAAAAAGAAAGAGGAGAAAGTGAGAGAGAGGGGTAAAGAAAGAGGGAAGAGAGGGAGAAGGGGGAAAATAAAAAGGAGAAAGTGGAGAGAGAGAGAGAGGGTAAAGAGAGAGGGAAGAGAGGGAGAAGGGCAAAATTAAAAGGAGAAAGTGTGAGAGAAGGAAGGGTAAAGAAAGAAGGAAGAGAGGGAGAAGGGGGGAAAAGAAAAAGGAGAAGGTGAGAGAGAGAGAAGTAGAGAGAGAGGGAAGAGAGAGAGAGAGAAGGCGGAAGAAAGATAGAAAAAGGAAGAAAGTGAGAGAGGGAGCGTAAAGAGAGAGGGATGAGAAGAATAGACAGGGGAAGAAAGAGACAGAGAGATTGGAGGCAGTGAGAAAGAGGGAGAAGTGAGAGAGAGAGAGATGGGGAGAGAATGAGGTGAAAAGAGATAGAGGAGAAGAGTGAGAGAGTGGGTAAACTGAAAGATGAGAAAGGGTAGAGATGGATAGAGGGAAAAAGAGAGGGAGAAAAATGAGAGAAACGAGCATGAGAGATACGGAGAAGAGAGAAAGAAAGGGGGGGAATAGAGAAAGGGAGAATGCGTGTGTGTGTGTGTGTGAGAGAGAGAGAGAGAGAGAGGGGTAAAAAGAGAGGGATGAAGAGGGGAAATGAAAGAGAGGGAGAAGTGAGAGAGACAGAGGGGAAGAGAATGAGTAAGAGCGAGTTGGGAGAAGAGAAAGAATGGAATAGTGAGAGAAACGGTAATAGTGAAAGATGACAGAAGGAAGAGAGAGGGTAGAGACGGATAGGGTGAAAAAGAGAGAGATAGACGATAGAGAGGTAGAACAGAGAGAGAGAGAGAGAGAGAGAGAGAGAGAGAGAGAGAGAATGAAGAGAGAGTGGGAGAAGAGAGAAAGAGAGATTCTATTATCATCATCATTCATGTGTATTATTTTCATACTTACTGATTTACAAAGGCGAATCAGGAACAAGGCCATATGAACCAAGGATCGGTAAGACTTTGCGTCTAAGAATAATTAACGTATTGCGTTCCAAGACTTTCAGCCAATGCCTGAAACTGCAGAGAGTCACGAACTGTTTTTTCCATCATATAAATACTTATAGAATTGAATTTATAAATTAAGCACAAGTGGGTACTCCGACGTGGCATAATGGTCACCAAGCTTGTGTCTCTAGATCACTTACGTCTGAGTAATGAATTCGATCATCAATGGACGCTGTGCCACGTCAAAGCTACGCTTGGTAGAATTCTATGAATTAAACGCGATTAACAACAATAACTACTAAGATAAAACAATTAAAGTAGTCCATTCTTAACCGCGCGGATTATAATCCAAGAAACTCTCCAAACCAGCCAACAAACAAAGATAGTACCGAATGCCGTTTTTCATCCTCTGCATATATACCTATGAAACGCGTTTCGTTCTCTAAAAAGGACTTCATCAGACCAATGTAACGTTCTTAATGATGAGATTATATCTACTAATCGTGTCCATGAAAATTTCACGGTTTTGGTACTCGAATTTTGGGGGGGAAGCGTAATTCGTGAACTTAATGATTGGAACAGATTCTGGCGAGTTCCATAATTTTACGACGACATTACGACAATGGTAAAGTGACTGAAGTCGAGATGCCAGGTCAAGACCAATAACATTGCAGATTCTTCTTTGGATTTCTTCAAGAACCTCTAAATATATAGCAGGGGTGCCAGACCATATATGGCAGCATTTATTTATATTTATTTGGAATATTCTTTAGGACTTGAACGTAGAATAAATAAATCACGATGAAATATTTCAAGAATATCTTAATCTTTTCTGGAAAATGACATCCTTTTTATGTTAATGTCAAAGAAGTTTTTTTTTTTTGCTTTTGTAATGATGTTCACCCTGTACAAGGCCCGGGAGCCACTGGAGGTAGAGGATTATAGAGCAAGAGGCACAATATATGCGAATTTGTGGGCAAGATAACGGTTAACCATAGATATGAACAAGTTAAGACTGTAGTGATCAAGGAAGCATCCTCTTGGGAGTCAGTTCCGCAGAACAACGGTTCAAGGGAAGAAGCTGTTCGAGTTGAACATTAAGGCCCGGGAGTTTCTCTCATCTTTCACTTCTCGCTGTCTCCCTTCTCTCTTTACTTCTCGTTCTATCTCTCTCCTTTTTCTATCTTTCTTTTCCCCTTCTCTCTTTTCCAAAGGGAATGAGGGTGGTTCGGTACAATGGGCGTGGCATGGCGAACCTGAGCCGTGAAGGTTATAACTGGTGAACCTAAGGAATGTACACGTTCGTTTACTGTGCCGTGCCAAAAAAAAAAAAAAAATTATTGTCAGAATCCATCTTGTACATTTACAAATCTAGCATTCGTCCGTATATTGAATACCGTTGCTATATCTGGTCTGGCTCTCTTACTATGCATCTGGATATTGTTGGCAAACTCAAGAGAAGGTTTCTATAATACAATCGATCCTGACCAGATACTTCGTCTCCAGTGACTTTCTCACCGACGTGACCTGACTTCCCTAAGTATGTTCTCTAAATGTTTTCTGCTCTGTGTCCTGGGTATGACGACAAATTACATCCGGCAGCGAGGTCTCTGATCAGGAGGTTTCGGGGAGCATGAAACCATCTCTTAATTGTTAGTGTTCCCAGGTCTACCCTGACCCGGGGTGGTAGCACCTGATAGGGTCCCAGCTATGGGCAAATAGTTAATCCCCCAAAACTGGAGTCAAAACACAATGAAAGTGTAAAAATAAGTTTTAATACCAGCAATACATTTTTGGAAAAGAAAAAAAAAACAATACCAGCAATCCATTTTTGGAAAAATAATATTACCAGCAATAAAAATCTTGTGGTTATAAATAACTCATGGAAAAAAAAAGAAAAGAAAAAAACAAAAACAAAAACAAAAAAACAAGCAACTGCTCTGATGAGCGTTTTCCACTGGTGCTCCGACTAAATGAATTCAAATTCTACTAGATTGGCAACTAGGTCTCACCGTTTTACTGTTGTACTGGCTAGATGCAACCGCCATTTACATCTAACAATTTTTCTCGCACTTCCTACATGTGGAACTCCCTTCATATTTCTTGCTTCCCTGATAACTACAATATTCAAAAATTGTAATGCAACGTTAATCGTCATCTATTTACTTGTACCCTTTTTTGTCCTTTCCTCTATACCCCTCATTCGCAGTTTTCTCATTCTTTTTCACTCCCTGTGACCCCCTGCGGTCTAGTGTCATTGTCGCCTTGCTTGGGGTGAAATGATTAAAAAAAAAAAAAAAAAAAAAAAGCGATAATGTAGCACGAGGCTGGCGACGTCTCGTCTGTGAGAAAGTGGTTGTAGGGTGGAAAAATAACCCATCACCCATAAGGACGCGGAGATGCTTTAGGACTCTATCGAATCTGGGAA